CTTTCCCCACCAGGCCCCGGGGCAGGTCGGAGGGTCCGAGGGAAATCCAGCCACTTGGGAGCCTGAGACATTCAGCATCATGGCCAGGCCCCCTTTCCAGGGGACTCATTGCCCAGCACCCTCTCCACTGTCCCCGCCCCATTCCTTGGGGGGGCGGGGAAAAAGTATTTTTCTTTTGTTATTACTTCCTGAAACTTTTGCAGGTACAGAAACCACAAACGGATCCGGTGACAAAAGTAAGAAGAGACGAGGCAACGGGAAATCTTCAGGGACCCGTTCCCTCCAAGCCCAGCCTCTCCTCCCCAGCGCAGCTCGGCCCACAGCCTGGACGTGCCAGCAGGGACCCTGACCCTACAGGTATCGGGATACGGCCTTGACCCCTTCCCTTCCCAGCCCGGTGGCTCAGTCCTGTGAAGGACCAAGGCAAGTGGGAGAAAGCCCTGTTGCCTGATCCCAGGAATCACTCGGAGACCCTCGGCTGATTGGCAGCACTGAACAGGTTAATAAAAAAGATAAAAACACAGAAAAACCCAGAAACCCAGACGGGAAGATGGGGAGACGTGGGGAGAGAGTATGCTGGGAGCCTCAATAGCTGCCCTCCTCCTGGTGGTAGGGAGATATTCAGGGACCTCCCCCAGGCCCGAGCAGTCGCCAGCATCGGAGGGAGCCCGGTCAGCGGCTGTGCCCCTCCCAGGCCAAAGACCTGGCCGCTCTGATTGGCACCCTGCGTGTAGCCCATCTGCAGGGACATGGAGGAGTTATCACACTTGTCGGTTCCCAGTTTGGTGTCACAGATGTGCCGCCGCGTCTCGGGAGCCGTCATGCCCACCTGGCTGGCACACTTGGTGCCCCTGGAGGCTGATGGTCGAGTGGTCCATGGGGGGCAGGATGTGGTTCTTGGGGCCGTAGAGATGCCTCCTCGTGCTGTACACGGTCGTGTCCTACTGGCTGGCATATTTGTTGGTGCCCATCTGCAGCCCGATGACGCCACTGTCCGGCCTTAATGGTGGCTTCGTCGAAGCTCCGCTCCTGCATCTCCGAGTACTTGACGCCAATGTCCACCCAGCTCTGCAGCCCCTTAGTCTTGGCCTTCCCCGCCAGGGCGAGAAGAGACACCTGCACCTGCGTCACGTTCCCGCTCTCAAACAGGTCGTTGGCCTCGAACAGGTCCACAGGGACCATGGCCTTGATGAAGTTGGAAAGGTTTTCTAGCTGGTGCCGGTTCTGCATGGAGCGGTTGGTCCTGGGGACTGAGGCTGGCCGTAGCTTGCTCATGGGTGTGCATAAGATAATCCCGTCCTTCAGGCCCTTCTGGAAGTCGGGGCCGATGGAGAGACCCGTGAGTCCCTCGATCCAGCTTTGGAGCTCTGCCTCCTTCTGAGGGTCACCTGGGCAGGTGCCGGTTCTTGACCTCGCCCGACAGCCCGTTAGAGGGGCCCTTGTTGAACTGTGTGGCGCTCATGGCTGGCGGGCGCGGCGGTGGGATGGGGCAGGACGGGACAGGACGGGACCGCGGGGCGCGCGGGGTCCATTCTGTGTTTTCTTGAAGTTCAGAGACTTTCCTTGAAACGTTTTTTTAAAAATTCTTTGAGAGATCACACGTCTCTATCACTTTAGAGTTGCTCTCTGACACCTTATTTTGTGCATTTGCCGAGGTCATATTTCTCTAAATATTCTTGAAAATTGTGAACATGTTCATTGAGGGATTATTTATTTTAGTCTCCACAGGTTGCCTTTGCCTGTCCCTGTCTGTCTTTGTAGAGCCTTCCATGGATTCAGGCAGACCTGTTTAGTTACCTGAACCTGTGATCACTGCAGCCCTCTCAGCACTAGAGGATGCTCTAAGTCCCGACTTACCATGATTCTCAAAAGGACTTCAAAGTTGATGTAGTTTTAAGGCCCAGATGGACCTGGGGAAGACCCCAGGAGGGTCCTGAGGTTGTGTGGGAGTGCTGGTCTGGAATCTTGAGTCCAGAAGACTGTCCCAATGGACTAGAATGGTGTGAGTCGCTGCCCATCTCTACATGGGTATGTTGGGTCCCCGACTGCAGTGAGAGGGGTTGAAGTTGAGGCTGGGCCACCTTGGGATCTGCCAGAGGAAGGAGGCTTATGGGCCTGTATTGTTGGCCTAGATGGACATGCATCACCCAGCAGGTCCCTGCATAAGCAGTTCCTTGATTGTAGCTGGAGAAGCCAGAGCTGAGAGTGTCCTCTCAGGATCTGCTGTGGGACAGGCAGAAGAGCTCAGTCTTGCTTCAGAGGAGTGCACATTACCCAGCACAGATAGGACAGCTCCCTGATGCAGCAGGGAGGGACAAAGTTGAGACAGAGCCCTCTGGGGATCTGCTGTGAGATGGAAGCTGGCATGCCTGTCACATCAGCTCAGATAGGTGTGTATCTCCCAGTAGGTTCCTGCACAGATGGGATAGTTCCCTGACTGCAGCAGGCAGGCCTGGAGCTGAGATTGGGTTGATTTGGGATCTGCTGTGGGACAGAGGCTAGAGAGTCTTATTGCTTCAGAGGGGCATGCCTTGCAGGTTTCAGCCCAGATGGGATGGTTCACGGATTGCAGTAGGAGGAGCCAGACCTGAGACTTGGTGCCATCAGGATCTGCTGTGAGTTGGAGGTTGACAGTCCTGTTAGGGAGGCTCAGACTCCCAGGCTGTGTGATACGGGTGATTCTCCCTCTGGATCATTGTGTGGGCAGCTCTGAGCTGGGATCTCAGCTGAGAGTGGCTGAAGCCAAGCCACAGGGAAACTTTCAGTTTTGCCACTGAGATAGATGTCAGCAGGAAGATGGGTTTCTCTGCCAAGTCACTAGTATGCATGATACCTACTGGATCCCTTGGCGGATGGTTTTCATTGCAGGCCCAAGACCAAATGAAGAAGGAGACAAGCCCCTTGGAGGACAGGACAATTTCAGGATTTGAATACGGGAGCAAGCTTGTAGTAGTATCAGCCACCTCGAGTCAATCTGCATTCTTAGAATGATGCTCCTAGGTCGTGAGCTACCTGAAGAATTCACAAACTCCTACCTAAATTTTGAGCTCCTGCAGAGAGGCTTTGGAGCATGTATGGGTGTAGAATTTTTTGTTGTTGTGGAATATATGAATGGATTACCTTCTATTCCGTTGTCCTGGTTATGCCACTCTGTATATGCTTAATCTTAAGGTTAGTGGAGACCCGTACAATGACAGTGTTTGTGTCCACATAGATGCAAAATTATATGATTATACATAATAAAGATTAAATTCATTTAAATTAGTAATATAATGTTATATTCTGGGTATTTTTACTTGACATATATCACTTTTTTTTTAAGTTTTTGTATAGATTTGGGGGTACATGTGAAGGTTTGTTACACAGGTAAACACATTGTCACTGAAGTTTCGTATATATTATTTCATCACCCAGGTATTAAGCCTAGTACCCAATAATTTTTCTGCTCCTCTCCTTCCTCCTCCCATCCTCCCCCCTCAAGTAGACCCCAGTGTCTGCTATTTACTTCCTTGTATCACTGGTTTTTCAAAAGTTATGATATGGAAAGTCAAATTTTAAATGCTTATATAACATTCAATCATGTTGACTATTATATTCATTTAATTAACCATTCATTTGTCTTTATACATTTTGATTATTTCTTATGTTTTATTTGTATGAATAATGCTCAATTATAATTTTCTTTTTTTTTGCTTTATATCTTTAGGATAAACATTTAGACATTTATCTAAATATTTAGATGTTATTTAATCAAAGGATATTAACACTTTTATGGCTTTTCGAATCTCCTGATAAATTTACTTTATCAGTTTACACTGCTGTTAATACAGTAAGAATATTTATCAGATTCACTACATTTATTTTGATTGAGATGTATTATATCTTATAAAATTTCACAAATTAAATCTACCAAATAGATAATTTGGTTCTATAAATATTTCCAACATTAAATATTTTTTACATTGTATTTTTTTTTTTTTTTTTTGAGACAGAGTTTCACTCTTGTTACCCAGGCTGGAGTGCAATGGCGCGATCTCGGCTCACCACAACCTCCGCCTCTGGGGTTCAGGCAATTCTCCTGCCTCAGCCTCCTGAGTAGCTGGGATTACAGGCACGCGCCACCATGCCCAGCTAATTTTTTGTATTTTTAGTAGAGACGGGGTTTCACCATGTTGACCAGGATGGTCTCGATCTCCTGACCTCGTGATCCACCCGCCTTGGCCTCCGAAAGTGCTGGGATTACAGGCGTGAGCCACCGCGCCCGGCCCACAATGTATTTTCAATGCAAGTTTTCATCTGTGAATTGTCCTTGGTTTATCTCTTGATTGGTGATATTTTTATAGACACAAGATTTTAAAATTAATTCCTGTATTTCTAAATTTTGAACAATATTTCTCCTTTAGTGAATTGATCAATTAAATTCTATTATTACTTATTCAATAATTTAATTCTCTACTATTCAACTTTAAAATTTATCCCAAATGTGTTTATCAAATTTTAATGAAGCGTTTAATAGTAGTGATTACATAATCGTATTTAATGTTATGACTAAAGTTTTATCCGTTAAAATTTGTATGAAAAATAGGCTTTATATCAAAGTTACTCATCTAGTTTAAGTGATTTATGTTTGTTGGTCAGTCACTAAAATGCTGTTTTTATTATTATTGCTATATAACATATCTTAATTTTGGGGAAGAGCTAGTAATTTCCTCATTAATCTTTTTAAAATATCACTTTGATAATTATGCAGTTTTCTTATGGATGAAATATATAATAATATAATAATTTAAAAGTATAACTTCAGTATTGTCTGTCTGACCTCATACATCGAATGGCAAATATAAAAGGATTCCTCAATACATTAGGCAGAATACAAACAAGTTTCCAAATACATATACGGCTATTTTATAAACGGAAAGTAAGTTCTCACAATTACTCAGAGAAATCTAACTCAGGTAATTCTGGTATAAGAGAAGTTTTATGTTTAGGAATAAACTTACCAGTATTGCATCTGCTTGGTTTCGTATCAACTGGAGTTGGAATAATCGTTACTTTTGTGAAATCTTCCATACCTTGTATCTGAAAGTTGACAGAACGCAGGTTAATTTCTGAGCAAATATCCTACAATTAAAAATTTCTCTAGTAAGCTAAATTTCTGGCTTTCTCTAAATATCTGGGGAAAATGGGAAATATTAAAAATCAACACAAATAAGATTGGTATCTTAAAATACCTGGATGTTGGTTTTGTGAAAGTCAATATTCCATATACATTCATTGAATTTTAAATATTTCTATTCCATATGGAATAAAATGACTAAGAATGAATCACCAGGCTGGGTATGATGGCTCACGCCTATAATCCCAGCACTTTAGGAGGCTGAGGCAGGCAGATCACAAGGTCAAGAGATTGAGACCATCCTGGCCAACATGGTGAAACTGTCTCTACTAAAAATACAAAAATTAACTGGGTATGGTGGCGTGTGCCTGTAGTCCCAGCTACTCGGGAGGCTGAGGCAGGAGAATCGCTTGAATCTGGGAGGTGGAGGTTGCAGTGAGCTGAGATTGTGTCACTGCACTCCAGCCTGGCAACACAGTGAGACTCCGTGAAAGAAAGATAAAGGGAAGGAGGGAGAAGGGAAGGAAGGAGGGAGAGAGGGAGGGGAAGGAAGGAAGGAAGGAAGGAAGGAGAGAGGGAGGGAGGAAGGAAGCAAGCAAGGAGGGAGGGAGGGAGGGAGGGAGGGAGGAAGGAGGAATGCAGGGAAGAAGGCAGGAAGGAAGGAAGGAAGGAAGGAAGGAAGGAAGGAAGGAAGGAAGGAAGGAAATCACCAATGGCCCTTTAAAAATCAACCAGAGATGTTTTTCTACATGGCACAAAGAAAGTTTAATAAAAAGAGTATTTGAAAATGTTCTTTTCATTAAACTTTCTTTCTGCCATATAGAAATATTTCAAAATATTCTTCCACCTTGTGGTGGTTTTCAACATAGTTTGAATCAATTGGGACCCAAGTCCACAATGAGTAGGGCTCTATGTCTGGGGGAGTAGATAGAGTTATTTATCAGGCTCAGGCTCTGGCTTGGCTGTGTAACTTCTCAACAAGCACCCACGGCAAATCTGTGACGTGTTCAAGGACAGGGGTAGGGAGCAGCATGGTGCAGAAGGTTTCACTTCCTGTCATTAAGCGTTATGTCGGTGCTGATGATGTCCACTTAGAAAATTTTCTTGTAATAATTTTTCACCTTGGGAAAAATCTCCATTTCACTTTTTTCTTGTGTCCAAAATCTACCCTGTAAGTGCTTTCATCCTAGCTGTAAAACATTTTATTAATATATTTACTTACTTGTTTCTTTCCACTTGGTTGAGAGATCTCTTGAGGATAGGTTGTAAGTATCATTTTTCTGTATCATTTCAATACATAGCACTATTTCTGACATATATTAGTTGCTTAAATATATCTAAGCATATTTTAAATAACTGAGTCCCCTTTGAATTTATTTTTTGTAGCTGTATATTTTATGTCCCCTGATTCCTTTTGAAATGTGCCTCTCTGATTCTCCCCCAACACAAAGCAATACACACACACACACACACAAGGCTTCTTTCCTTCTTCACATGGCTCAGCTTCCCATTTTGATTGGCAGGGAAACTCAGTTAACAGTTTAAACATGAGAAGACAATCCCTTTCAAAGTACCTGTGCAAACACTACTAATAATAGTCAATTCAGCATCAGTCTGGCAGAACCTTGCTAGAGCATTGTTGATACAGTTTTTCTGCAACGTGGGAGTAAAACAAATGCACCATCTGTTGCAGTGAATGTAACCGTACCAACATCTAACTGTAGCAAAATGTCCAGCTTGGCCTTGTGTGTAGGCTTTGGATGAGAATAGTTCGTGATTGGGCCAGCAAGTGCCAGAGCAATCAACGGACCTGGTGTGTGTGTGTGTGTGTGTGTGCGCGTGCGTGCAAGCAAGCATGGGTATGAGTGTTTACGGAGTGGTGGGAGAAGGAAGAAGATTGGAAGGTGAAAAGCTTCAGATCATCATGACAGTTTTTCTGATGTTAATACATTCTTGGACATATGGCATATTGACCTGAAGACAGGAATCAGTATTTCCTTACCTGATAGCATGTTTTAGGAATTAAGCAAGGTGCTCTATAAATTTTTTGTGACCGACAATCTTCTACAGCTCCATGTATGAGGACAACATTGACTGCATTTTTTTTTATAGAGATTAGTTTTGGTGCTCTTTGGTTTATCTTCTACATAAATGTTGGAGAGTTCAAGTTGCATCTTGTAGTTCTAATCCTGTTTTAGAAAACAATTTCATATTCTATTATTTGTTTATGAAATTTAATATATATTCATAAGTAGTCAATTGTAGGCCGGGCACGGTGGCTCACGCCTGTAATCCCAGCACTTTGGGAGGCCAAGACGGGTGGATCACGAGGTCAAGAGATCGAGACCATCCTGGTTCACACGGTGAAACCCCGTCTCTACTAAAATATACAAAAATTAGCTGGGCATGGTGGTGCGTGCTGTAGTCCCAGCCACTTGGGAGGCTGAGGCAGGAGACTTGCCTGAACCCAGGAGACGGAGGTTGCGGTGAGCCGAGATCACGCCATTCCACTCCAGCCTGGGTAACAAGAGCAAAACTCCGTCTCAAAAAAAAAAAAAAACCTTTTAGTCATGTTAAGATTCCAGTGAACTGAACTGCTAATTATGAACAGAATGATGGTACTTGCACTAATCTTTATAACCTGTTAATGAATCTTTCTTTAGCCTACTCTAAAATTACTTAAAAAAAGAAATCTGCTCCCAAGGATACCTAATCCTCAAAAGAGGAGCTTTTTTTTTTATTTTTTTTTGAGACAGGGTCTCACTCTTACCCAGGCTGGAGTGCAGTGGCATGATCATGGTTCAATGCAGCCTCGACTTCCCAAGCTCAGGTGATCCTCCCACCTCAGCCTCCTGAACACCTGGGACGAAAGGCATGTGTGCCACCATGCCTGGCTAATTTTTTGTTTGTTTTTGTTTGTTTGTAGAGACTGGTTTTCACTATGCTGCCCAGGCTGGTCTCAAGCTCCACTTCAGCCTCCCAAAATGCTGGGATTACAGGCATGAGCTATCGCACCCAGCCAAGAGATCAGCTTTCCAGTGAACTTGTATGTGCCTTACCATCAAATTTCACTTATAGTTGTACTAAACCAGAGTGTATCAAACACTCTTAACTCTCATAAGAATTGCTAGATTTAGAAAGAGTCCTTTAATACAGTAAGTGTTAGCATTTGTAACATACAGAAGTGCTGTCCTTCCAAAAAGACTCTCAGATCTCAACGTGCCTAATCAGCAAGTCATGGTCTCGTTTTCCAGTGAGGAAACCTGAAGCACATCCAGGTTACACAACCGAGTGAACACAATGGAAACGGAACAGGTAACTTCTGACTTTAAAACGCTCTTACAGTCATTATACAGTGTAGGTTGGTTGAACATTGCTTAACTTTCTTTAGTTACAGGAATGAATTTTTAAAATCAAAATCACATAAAATAGCTGGCTTCTCAATAACACTTAGAAATATTGTTTCTGTATAAAACTAGTCTCTTGACAATAGAGTGAGCTGCACTGTAAGTGGAATCCACTCCTGTGGTATAGTTTTCACACAAGGAAATTGAACCAGGTAATTCCATTCCATCGAGCCAGACAACAGTGCCCTCTAGTGGTCAAAGCGGAGCATAATCAGAAATGTCTGGGACTCTGGACTAAAACCAAAACATCTCAACTCCAGAAGCTAAGAAGGAAATTGTAAAAATACTGTGACTTCTTGCAGATTTAAAGAAAATTTGCATTCAAGAATAAAATGAAGATATAAAAAAAGAAATTACCCAAAAGCTCCAGTCACCACTGCAATTATGTAAATGTGGCCCCTGTTATTTTTTTTAATTTAATTTTATTTTTGAGACGGAGTTTCGCTCTTGTTACCCAGGCTGGAGTGCAATGGCGCGATCTCGGCTCACTGCAACCTCCGCCTCCTGGGTTCAGGCAATTCTCCTGCCTCAGCCTCCCGAGTAGCTGGGACTACAGGCACGCGCCACCATGCCCAGCTAATTGCCCCTGTTTTTTAACTACTGCATTATTCTCTTCCACAGTTGGACTAGGATTTTCCTCTACATCCACCTCTGTGGCAAGGCTTGAATCCCCTTCACTTATCACATCAAACAAATATCAAACCATTAAATTATTTATTGAGAAATGGCCATTTTAAAAAGAATGTCCACAACATATACGTTAATTTTAAAAGGGCAATATTTAAATGTTTAGAAGACAACAATAAATGTTTTTGCTTCAGTAGTTCATATAGTTATATATTTATTTCTATTTATTCTTATTTTATTTTCTGTAGCGACAGTGCCTCTCTCTCGCACGCAGACTGGAGTGTAGCAGCCCAACCACAGCTCACTGTCGTTTCAAACTCCCGGGCCAAAGCAATCCTCCTGCCCCAGCCTCCTGAATAGCTGGCACTACAGGTGCACACCACTATTAGGTGTCCAGCTAATTTTTGTTGTTGCTGTTGTTGTTGAAGCGACGTCTCACTATGTTTCCCAGAGTGGTCTCAAACTCTCAGACTCAAGCAATCCTCCTGCCTCAGCCTCCCAAAATGCTGGGATTATAGGCATGAGCCACCTCACCCAGCCAAGTTCATACATTTATACATGCAGCAAAGGTTTTATAACTACTATTATTTACTAGGTAGTTTGGTTGGCACTAGGGTTGCAAAGATGAATAAAGCAAAGTCCCCAGTCTCCAGAAATGCAGAGTTCGCTAGAGGAACAATAAATCACACAACGTAGGCCAGGTGCGGTGGCTCATGCCTTAATCACAGCACTTTGGGAGGCCAAGGTGGGCGGATTACAAGGTCAAGAGATCATCCTGGCCAACATGGTGAAACCCTATCTCTACTAAAAAAATATATTGTGTTCTCATTGTTCAACACAGAGAGGGGAGCACTACACACTGGGGTCTGTTGGGGGGAAACAGCAGAGGGACAGCAGGGGGCGGGGAGTTGGGGAGAGATAGCATGGGGAGAAATGCCAGATATAAGTGATGGGGAGGAAGGCAGCAGTTCACACTGCCACATGTGTACCTAAGCAACAATCTTGCATGTTATTCACATGTACCCCAAAACCTAAAATGCAATAAAAGATATATATATATATTAAAAATTAGCTGGGCATGGTAGCATGCACCTGTAGTCCCAGCTACTCAGGAGGCTGAGGCAGGAAGATCACTTGAACCCGGGAGGCAGAGGTTGCAGTGAGCCGAGATTGCACCACTGCACTCCAGCCTGGTGACAGAAGACTCTTTCTCAAAAAAATAAAATACAACATAATGGGAGTGTCCATTTGTAAAACTATTTTGGAGAACAATTTGCAATGCTCAGCAGGAAAGAAGATAGACATATACTGCAATGAAGCAATTTAATATACACATAGAGTCAGGAATGTTTGTTAATACTAAGAAAGCGGAAATAACCTCACTGTCCATCAACAGAGAAATTAGGAAATAAGCTCTGATTTATACAAATGAAAGCGTTTAAACAAGTGAATAAGATGTGTCAGCTGTGCCGGGTGGCTCACACCTGTAATCCCAAAACGTTGGGATCACTTGAGTCCAGGAGTTCAAGACCAGCCTGGCCAACATAATGAAACCCTGTCTCTGCTAAAAATACAAGAAATTAGCCAGGCATGTTGGCCTTTAGTCCCAGCTACTCGGAAGCTGAGGCAGGAGAATTGCTTGAACCCAGGAGGCAGAGGTTGCAGTGAGCTGAGATTACATCACTGCACACCAGCCTGGGGACAGAGCCAGACTCTGTCTCAGAAAAAATGGGCCCATTGGGTAATTGCTCACGTAAGAGCACTCATTAGGGAGTTTAAAAAAAGAAAAAAGAGGCCGGGCACAGTGGCTCATGCCTGTAATCTCAGCACTTTGCAAGGCCAAGGTGGGTGGATCACCTGAGGTCAGGGGTTCGAGACCAGCCTGGGCAACATGGTGAAACCCCATCTCTACTAAAAATACAAAATTAGCCGTGTGTGGTGGCATGCTTGTAATCCCAGCTATTTGGGAGGCTGAGGCGGGAGAATGACTTGAATCTGGGAGGTGGAGGTTGCAGTGAGCCGAGATTGTCCCATTGCACTCCAGCCTGGGCAACCAAAGTGAAAATCCATTTCAAAAAAAAAAAGAAGAAGAAACGCAAAGAAAAAAACAAAAAAGAAAAAAGAGAGTAGGGAGTAGGGAAGTAAGGAGGAGCAGCCATTATAAAAGCATATGGGCCAGGTGCAGTGACTCATGCCTATAATCCCAGCACTTTGGGAGGCTGAGGCAGGAGGATTGCTTCAGCCAGGAGTTTGAGACCAGCCTGGGCAACAGAGTGAGACCCTCTCTCTACAAAAAAAAGTCAAAAAATTCGCCAGGCATAGTGGCATAGGACCCTCCTGTGGTCCCAGATGTTCAGGAGGCTGAGGTGAGAGGACTGCCTGAGCCTGGGAGGTTGAGACTGCAGTAAGCCATTATCACGCTACAGCACTCCAGCCTGGGTGGCAAAGCAAGACCCTGTCTCAAACAAGCAAAACAGCATCTGGTGAACCAGGATCCTTAAATACCTCTGCTGCTGCTGCTGCTCAGCTTAAGCTTGAGAGTGTCACTCTGTCGCCCAGGCTGGAGTGCAGTGGTGTGACCTCAGCTCACTGCAACCACTATCTCCCAGGTTCAAACGATTTTCCTGCCTCAGCCTCCCAAGTAGCTGGGATTACAAGCATGCACCACCTCACCCAGCTAATTTTTGTATTTTTAGTAGAGATGGGGTTTCACCATGTCGGCCAGGCTGGTTACAGACTCCTGACCTCAAGTGATTGGCCCGCCTCAGTCTCCCAAAGTGCTGAGATTACAGGCATGAGTCACTGCGCCCAGGCAGACTTCAGGTTCTTAAACCCTATAAATAGCCATTGTCACTGGGGAAGCCCCTAACCCTGATGATACTGATTTGAGGCCCTCTGGAGAAAGACATTTGTAAACATGAGAGGGCAGAAAGGACCTGCTCCACCTGAAGTATATCCAGTAACCTCCACAAAGAGAGGGAAAAACAAACAAACCTGGATATAAGGGGAGGAAACATACAACAGCAAAAAAACAGAAAAACAAAAACTGAAACTGAAGTCCATAAATTGATCTAACAGGACACACAGAATTTATTAAGATAATTTATGTAATAAAAGATAAAAGACTGGCTTTTGTGCCTCTACAACACGGGTTCTAAGTTAACCTCAACATCTGCTAAAATGCAGCAATTGGCAAATCTTCATAACTTGAATCAATAATGGGTCTCAAATTAGTTATACCTAGAGTTCCCACTAAATTTAAACAAGGCATCCCTACGACTTTAGGGGAGTTAGTCAACATAAAACAGACAACAAACAGGTATGCCTCACTTTGATCACGAGAATTATTCCCAAATTCTCCATGATCATGGTATAGATTGCCCTAAAATATCCTATTGTGGCCCTGGACACTCTGACCCAGTGAGTAATAAACTAAATTTAAAACAAGTCTTTAGAGCTTACAAATTGGCTTTCAAAGAAGTGGGACCCCAGGCTGGGTATTTTGGCTCACATGTGTAATCCCAACACTTTGGGAGACTGAGGCAGGAGGCTCACTTGAGGCCAAGAGTATGGAGAATGCGCTGGGCAATATAGCAAGGCCCCCTCTCTACAAAAAAATTAAAAGATCAGCCGGGTATTGTGGCACACACATGTAGTGCTAGCTCCTTGGGAGGCTGACGTGGGAGGATTGCCTGAGTCCAAGAGTTGGAGACCGCAGTAAGCTGTGATTGCACCACTGCACTCTGGCCCAGCAGGAGCAAGACTGTCTCAAAACAAACAAAACAGTGAGAGCCCGTGGACCACCACCCTCAATGCCCAGTTAAAATTATACAACCCAATATAAAACAAAACAGGGCCTTCAAGGACTAAAACTTGTTATATAAGACCTACTTTGGCCAGGGGCAGTGGCCCACACCTTTAATCCCAGCACTTTGGGAGGCCAAGGCAGACGGATCATGAGGTCAGGAGTTCGAGACCAGCCTGTCCAACTTGGTGAAATCCCGTCTTTACCAAAAAAAACCACAAAAATTAGCTGGGTGTGGTGGCACATGCTTGTGATCCCAGCTCCTCAGGAGACTCAGGCAGGAGAATCGCTTGAACCTGGGAGGCGTAGGTTGCATTGAGCCAAGATTGTGCCACTGCACTCCAGGCCGGCAACAGAGCGAGACTCCATCTCAAAATAAATAAATACATACATAAAAACTTACTTCATGGCCGGGTGCGGTGGCTCACGCCTGTAATCTTTGGGAGGCCGAGGCCGGTGGACACGAGGTCAAGAGATCAAGACCATCCTGGTCAACATGGTGAAACCCCGTCTCTACTAAAAGTACAAAAAAATTAGCCAGGTGTGGTGGCGCGCACCAGCTACTTGGAAGGCTGAGGCAGGAGAATCGCTTAAAACCCAGGAGGCAGAGGTTGCGGTGAGCCGAGATCGCACCACTGCACTCCAGCCTGGGAAAAAGAGCAAGACTCTGTCTCAAAATAAAAAAAGAAAGCCTGGAAGTTCCTTCCTTCATCTTGGGTGGGACATTCAAGCAATCTCCTGTCTGCATACAGGAACTCTCACCCTGGCCCCACTCCCTAACCCAGAAAAAAAGACCTGGAGCCAGTCTTTTCCTGAGTCTCTTTTAGGCCTTTTTGGTGCTGCCTGAGAGACCTGCCTTGCTCTCCCCAGGGACCTCAATTATGTAAGTAAAAGGCTTTTCACACCCTCATGGTGTGTGTGTGGCATCATCAGTTTCTACACCTGAACGAATTTGGTGTGGGGGTTCATTCCGGCTTTCTGGGGTGGCAACAATAGATTCTTGTCTCTATAACTTACCAGCTGTGTGGTCCTTAGCAAAGTCAATCTCTGTACATCTGTTTCCTTAACTCTACAACAGAGGAAATAATTATCTCTAATCTAGACAATAAGCTTATTGAGAGCAGGAATCAGGCCTGTGTTAATTACCATTTAATCCTGAACCCCAGTGCCAGGGACACAGTTGAATCAGTGACTGACTGGGTTCATGAATATCCAGCTTGACTATTTCATAGTAATGTTTTACAAATCAAGTGAAATAACACACTCATTTGTTCATTCAACAGTTATTTGTGTACCTCCACCAATCTGTAAACGACAGTGCTCTTCAGAAGATATAGCACTGACCACCTTTTCTCTAAAAGTAAAATATATACGCACACACCAATGTAGGAGGAGGACGGCGTTCAGAAATGCAGGCGCACCTCCAACAAAAGCGGAGCTTCACCCTGAATATTAACCAGCAAGTTTTCCATCTTGTCAAGTAAGGTAGTAAGCAAATAACAAGACTAGACTAGTTGAAACCAGAAACCTGGCTGACAGCACAGAGATTTTTTTTTTTTTTTTTTTTGAGATGGAGTTTCGCTCTTGTTACCAGGCTGGAGTGCAATGGCGCGATCTCGGCTCACCGCAACCTCCGCCTCCTGGGTTCAGGCAATTCTCCCGCCTCAGCCTCCTGAGTAGCTGGGACTACAGGCACGCGCCACCACGCCCAGCTAATTTTTTGTATTTTTAGTAGAGACGGGGATTCACCATGTTGACCAGGATGGTCTCGATCTCTTGACCTCGTGATCCACCCGCTCCGCCTCCCAGAGATTTAAACTATCACTGTGTAATAGGCCGAGAATGAAAGGAAGGAGGCGAGGCTGCAAAAACTAACACTGAGTCAGAATCACCACCACGGGGCCTGACCCAAGGGGGCCTGAGGCTGACACATCCGCATCAGCACATTTCTGGCCAAATTCAAGCCCTCAGCGCCCACAGTGAAGCAGACGTTTCCACCACCGCCCGGAGGGAAAGGGCTCCCGGAGGCACAGAAACCGTTTCCTCGGTTACAACTTTCCCTGTTACTCCAAAGAGCTCGAAGGACAGGGAAGGGGGGGATTAACTGTAATCTGAGGAGGTCCAAGCAATCGCCGTGAGAAAAAGTCGGGTCAAGCCTCCGGTGGGAACCGCCCCCAGCGAGGCCCGCTTACCTGGCGTACAGCCCGAGCGCCCTCCGTCCCGGCTCCCTAGGCCACCGCGGCACCGCCCCGCGCCCCCCTCCAGCGCGCGCCCCCCACCTCCAGCGCGCGCCCCCCACCTCCAGCGCGCGCCCCCCACCTCCAGCGCGCGCCCACCACCTCCAGCGCGCGCCCCCCTCCAGCGCGCCCCCACCCCCTCCAGCGCGCGCCCACCCCCTCCAGCGCGCCCCCACCACCTCCAGCGCGCGCCCCCCACCTCCAGCGCGCGCCCCCCACCTCCAGCGCGCGCCCCCCACCTCCAGCGCGCGCCCACCACCTCCAGCGCGCGCCCCCCTCCAGCGCGCGCCCACCACCTCCAGCGCGCGCCCCCCTCCAGCGCGCCCCCACCCCCTCCAGCGCGCGCCCCCCCCCTCCAGCGCGCCCCCACCACCTCCAGCGCGCGCCCCCCACCTCCAGCGCGCGCCCCCCACCTCCAGCGCGCGCCCCCCACCTCCAGCGCGCGCCCACCACCTCCAGCGCGCGCCCACCACCTCCAGCGCGCGCCCCCCTCCAGCGCGCTCCGGGCTCCTCGCGCCCCCTCCGCCGGCCCTCCCGAGTACTTCCAGCCGCAGCTCCTTGCGCCCTCCCGCGGCCGTGAAGGACTCCTGACGGTGGGTGTTACTGGATTAGTTCGGAGGCTTGTCTTTCTAGGGGTCACAATGAATTTTTTTTTTTTTTTTGAGACGGAGTTTCGCTGTTGTTACCCAGGCTGGAGTGCAATGGCGCCATCTCGGCTCACCGCAACCTCCGCCTCCTGGGTTCAGGCAATTCTCCTGCCTCAGCCTCCTGAGTAGCTGGGACTACAGGCACGTGCCACCGTGCCCAGCTAATTTTTTGTATTTTTCGTAGAGACGGGGTTTCACCATGTTGACCGGGATGGTCTCGATCTCTTGACCTCGTGATCCACCAGCCTCGGCCTCCCAAAGTGCTGGGATTACAGGCGTGAGCCACCGCGCCCGGCCCACAGTGAATCTTAACCAATCCCAGCCTCAAACTTCTGTGCCTACCAGGAAATGACGTTACCTGCCCCAATGTACGAAAAAGTGAAATGCTCGGGATTTTTTTTTTTTTTTTTTTTTGAGACAGAATTTCGCTCTTGTTGCCTAGGTTGGAGTGCAATGGCGCCATCTCCACTCACGGCAACCTCCGCCTCCCGAGTTAAAGCGATTCTCCGGCCTCATCATCCGGAGTAGCTGGGATTACAGTCATGCACCACCATGCCCGGCTAACTTTTTATTTTTAGTAGAGACGCGGGGTTTCTCCATGTTGGTCAGGCTAGTCTCGAACTCCTGACCTCAGGCGATCCGCCTGCCTTGGCCTCCCAAAGTGCTAGGATCATAGGTGTGAGCCACCGCTCCTGGCGGGAAGCTCTTGTTCCTTCCAGTAAAGGACTGATTGTACATCCTTGGTTCTGTAAAGCAAAAATAAAATGCTAAGGCCCCCAAGCCATCTGCATGGGCCCCTACTCTTGGCCAACAGCATTCCAGATAACCTTAATATCTAGTTCAGGCCATGATGAAAGAGGGGATTGGACATGCCTCATTAACATCAACACAGACCTTGAGTATGATAACAAATATTTATCACCTATTCCCTGGGAAGCCCGCTACTTGGAGGCTCCATCTGCATGATAAAACCTTGGTCTCCACTTCCCCTTATCATAACTCAGACTTTCCTTTCTACTGATAATAACTTTTTTTTTCTTTGAGACAGGATCTGGTTCTGATAGGCCCCCTGGAGTGCAGTGGCACAATCTAAACTCCCTGCAACCTTGGCCTCCCAGGCCCAACCAATCCTCCCACCTCAGCCTCCCAGGCGGCTGGGACTACAGGTGCGTGCCACCATGCCTAACTAGTTGTTTGTTTGTTGAGACGGGTTTTGCCATGTTGCCCAGGCTGGTCTCAGACTCCCAGACTCAAGCAGTCCACCCGCTTTGGCTTCCCAGAATCCTGGGATTACACGTGTGAGCCACAGCACCCAGCCAATAACAATTCTTTCAATCAATTGCCAATCAGAAAAATTTAAATGTACCGATGAACTGAAAGTTCCCCCTTCTCCCTGTTGGAGTTGTCTCCCCTTCCAGACTGAAACAATCATGTAGGTCTTGCATGTATTGATTGATGTATCATCTGCCCAAAATATATAAAAGCAAGCTATGCCCCGACCACCTTCTTCACGTGTCGGCACTTCCTGAGACTGTGTCAAGGGTGTGTCCTTAACTTTGGCAAAATAAATTTTCTGAATTAACTGAGACCTGTCTCAGATATTTGGGGTTCAGAGTTCCCAACCAAACTGCTATTTAAAAAAAGACATTCTAGACCAGGCATAGTGGCTCACTCATGTACCTACAGCACTTTGGGGGACTGAGGTGGGAGGACCATTTGTGCCCAGGAGTTCAAGACCAGCCTGGGCAACATAGGGGGACCCCTTCTCCAGAAAAGAAAGAAAATAAAGAGAGAAGAGAGAAAGAGAGAGGAAGGAAAGAAGGAAGACATTCTAGAACAATGGAGGAACAGTGAATATGAAATGTCTGTTAGAGTTGATGTTACAGGATAATCAATGATTTATGGATATTCATTTATGGATAATTAATAATTTCTGGCTATGTTGGAGGGTGTCTTTATTATTAGGAAACTCACACTAAAGTATCTAGGAGTTCCCTGGTATTCATGGGGATGTAAAGTTTAGGAGTGAAGTATTGCCGTGTCTACAACTTCCTTTCAGATGCTTCCACGCAGACGAACACAGAGGGAACAAAATAGCGAAATGTTAATTACTGGAGCTGAGTGGAGGGTATAACACTATTCAGTGATTCTTTTATTGTTTACATATATTTAAAAATCATAATGTAAAGTTGAAGAGATGAAAAAGAGTTGAATTCAGTTTCACAAAAAGTTGGACACTGAGTATATTTCTTTTTTCGTTTGTTTTTTTGAAACTCTTGCTCTGTCGCCCAGGCTGGAGTGCAGTGGCACAATCTTGACTCACTGTAACCTCCACCTCCCAGGTTCAAGTGATTCTCCTGCCTCAGCCTCCATAGTAGCTGGGACTACAGGTGCCCACCACCATGCCCAGCTAATTTTTATATTAGTAGTAGAGATGGGGTTTTGCCATATTGCCCAGGCTGGTCTCGAACTCCTGGTCTCAAGTGATCCACCCGCCACAACCTCCCAAAGTGCTGGAATTCTGGGTGTGAGCCACTGCACCTGGCCGTGAGCATATTTCTTAAAGACATATTACATACTAAAGGACAAATAAGTTAATCAATAAAAGACAGGTTTCCATCCTCATTCTGCAAAACTTTGCCTAAATTGTGTTCTGGGTGGGGGGCGGTGGCTCATGCCTGTAATCCCAGCACTTTGGGAGGCCGAGGCAGGCAGATCACCAGGTCAAGAGATCGAGACCATCCTAGCCAACATGGTGAAACCTCGTCTCTACTAAAAATACAAAAATTAGCTGGGCTTGGAGGCAAGCACCTGTAGTCTCAGCTACTTGGGAGGCTGAGGCAGGAGAATCACTTGAACCTGGGAGGCGGAGGTTGCAGTGAGCCAAGATCATGCATTGCACTCCAGCCTGGCAACAGAGCGAGATTCTGTCTCAAAAAAAACTGTGTTCTGTTGAACATAAAAAACTTCATAGAACACCAATATTAAGCAAGGCCACTGAATAATCATAATAGAATAGGACAAAAAGAAGGCCACTGTGTAATCATGTCTAAACACAGACAAAAACATGGACACCGTCCAAACCACAGAAAGGACTATCTCCCTATGCTGCCCAATATGACTGACGGCTGCCTCTCTCCCCATCACAGCTTTAGCTTCACTTTATTCCACCTGCCTTCTAGATAAGATGTATGAAGTACCCAATCAGAATCACCGCGGATCCTTGGCAACATCTAATCCAGGGCAAAGCTCCACTTCTTGAATCCTCGCAGAATCACTGAACACAAACCCAAATCGTGTAGTAAGAACTTTCTAACACCGTTTTGCTGAGCTGTCCTCCTGGTTTCCCACGGTGTTCTCTCACCCTCATTGCAGTGAGTCAATAAATGCAATGTTGTCCAGCTGCAGCTATGGTTCTCCTGGACTTGGCTGAAGAGCGTTGATATGTTTTGCAGTGACATAGAGCAGAAGGTAAAAGGGAACATGGAAGACAAGTTGTTGGAAGTTCGAAGAGAAAGGAGAGAAAGGACACTTAGGAGCACAGGGGAGTGACTGACTGACGTTTTAGGAAAACGGTAAAGCAGTAGCATTGCTGGGCAACACAAGTGCCTGATTGAGACTAATGGTCATGTATTTCAAGTGAGATCACACTATTATATAAACAGCTCCCAGAAATCCCCGTTTACCACAATCAGGGGAATGCTTAATTAAGAGATTAATGGTCATGTATTTCAAGTGAGTTCACACCAATATGTAAACAGCTCCCAGAAATCCCTATGGAGAAACCACAGTCAAGTTAAAAACTGCGAAGGTATAGGTCAGAAAGTTCATGGGAAAGGAAATACAAGTGTCTCTTAAAAATATAAAAGATCTGGCCAGGTGTGGTGGCTCACATCTGTAATCCCAGCACTTTGGGAGGCTAAGGAGGGTGGATCATGAGGTCAGGAGTTCAAGACTAGCATGGCCAACACAGTGAAACTGTGTCTTACTAAAAATACAAAAATTAGCTGGGCATGATGGTGGACTCCCTTAATTCCAGCTACTCGGGATGCTGAGGCAGGAGGATCACTTGAACCCGGGAGGCAGAGGTTGTGGTGAGCTGAGATCGCGCCATTACACTCCAACCTGGGCAACAAGAGCAAAACTCCATCTCAAAAAAAAAATATGTATATATATATATATATATATATATATATATATATATATATGATCCTCAGTTTCATTCAGAATAACCTAGAAATTAAAACCACACAGAAATACTGTTTTCACTTATTAGATTGACAGAAGTACAGAAATTTGAAAATGCATTCTAAATTTGTTGACAAGACTGTGATACAGGATTCCTCTCATAATGGAGGTGTGAAGTAATATAGCCAATTCGGCAATAGCTACAAAAGCTATGAGATGCAGCGATACCAACTGCTACGATTTTTCCGACAGATTTAACCGCACACATGCAAAATAATGTGCAAAGTTATTCCTAGAAGAACAGTTTGTAGTAGTAAAAATTGAAAACAAATCATCATCAATCGAGGACTGGTTAAATAACATACCTCCCTCCATCCGTTGGAATTTAAATTCTCTGCAGTTTCATAATAATTTTAAAAAGAATGAGGAGGAGCAACATCAACACAAATGGCAGAGGAGGGAACTTCAAAAGTCTGTACTTCCACAAAAGCAGCAAATAGGGTGGCAAGAGCTGTTAGAAACAATTTATTCAGAACTCCAGCATGTCTCCAAAACCTTATCACAATCGGGGGAATGCTCGTTAAGAAAAAACAGCCGAGTCTCATTAAGAGACTTTTGTGACATTTCAGTTACTATTTATTTATTTATTTATTTGAGACGGAGTCTCGCTCTGTCACCCACGCTGGAGTGAAGTGGTGCGATCTCGGTTC